TATATATATATAATATATATATATATACTGGTTCTGGCCCTCGGGCCATACGTTTAACTCCCCTGGTTTGCAGTTTACTTAAATCCATGTTTGGCGGGCTCCAGATTCCTCACAAGACGGAGCTGTCTGTTCATCGTTCAAAGCGGTTCTACACATGAAACTTGCGTCACCTGCAGGAAACTGAAGTAAGAGGAGCAGCAGCAGTGAAGACAAGTCAACCTAACCTGCTGCTGAAAATACAGATCTAATTGTGACGTCACGTGTGAGGTTAGAGATGTGAAACTAAATGCTTTAAGACCTAAGAGTCCTAATCCCACACTACACACTAAAATATAAGACTTGTTGAAAGGTGTTACCAAAACTAAACATACAAAAACAAAATATATTTGTGTGTTGATGGTGATGAAGTCATGCTGAGTGTTGTGATAACATATAATGAGATTTATTACCTTCTTTCAACTGCAATTTATGCAGTTTGTGAACGTCTGTTTAATCTAAGAAGATAAAGTCAGTCAAGCAGACAGACTGTAACACTTCCTGTGTTATGAGTAATCCTGCTGTCTTTACCGATGAAGCCAACAAAAGAAACTCAGCACCATCTAGTGGATTGAAAAAGCAATTGTTACCAATAAGTTTAAATTGTATTTGCAATATCAATAGTTTGTATAATAGATCGACACTTGGCGTCCGCGTATCGATACAATATTGTTAAAATAATCTTAATACTATGCTGTATCGATCCCCACACCCACACACCCACTATTCTCCACACTGTCATGCACAAGGGAAGATGAAGGAGCTGTTCACAGCTGCAAAAAAATTTGAAACAACTTAAAACAACACACGGTTTTGTGAACAACCCAGAAAACAAAAATAAAACACATTTAAATGTCTCTAGTTTAAATGTCAATGGCATGTATCTGCACCTGTATCGTGAACTTTCCTGTTAGCATGAAGTAGATGAATAAGTTGATTTATGTGTGTATAAAAACAACAATATACTAAGACGATTAGTATGTAGAAGAAGTCGCCTGTTTTCCCAGCAGGCATTTTGATAGCAGGTGTGACTAATGACACACCCGCATTACGGGGATCCAGCACCAGTGCTCTTAAACTAGCTCACCTAACTGGTATGCATCGTCATTCATTTGATGAATTCCAGCCGTGTTTTTCCTGCTATTACAAGTCAAAATGTCTGCTGTGGAAAAGACCTACATGCTGTAACTTGTTCGATTTATTTTTAAAATGCATCTTTGTGTCCACAGCTCCCTCTAGCGCCAGCAACTGGGAGGACGTCCAGGCGAAGGCCCGCCACCTGATGCTCCACACCTACGGTCTCACCAGGTGCACGGTGCAGGTGCAGACGCACCGGCTGAGGCTGGTACACAGCTGCACACACTGCCAGCAGTCCAGCGCCTGAAGAGACAGAGACTCATGCTGGCGTTCCATGGGGCAGAGAATAGAGTACACAGAGGGCCCGGAGGACGCACCGCTGTCGGTGCCATAACAGGAGAAACAGTATGCGGTGTGTAAATGCAAAAAAAAGACTGGTGCCAAAGGACAGTCAGTGGAACAACAGGAGATGCACATTTCTAATTAAAGAATCACTACAGCCTCCAGGGACCTGATGCCCTTACGCTAGCAAAAGTCACGGTGGAGATAAAATGTTTGAAGTCTCAGCCGAGAAGAATGAAAAAGAAACTTGCTCTTAATTCACCATCAGCGCCTATTCCAACAGTTAACTTTTGTTTTTGTCTTTTTACCGTTTGATTTATCACAACTGATGTTTTGTCATCAGGTGTAAGTTTTACTTTTTGTTGCAAGGACTGCCTGCTATGATCTTATTATTGTACTGAGGACGTCAGCAGATGGAAAGGTACCTCATTGTCATTTGATAGTAACTGTGGTCACAATGCACATAGTCTGTCCTCACCACCGGCATAAATGAGGAAAAATAAAACCTCATTGTGTCCCTTTAGTCAACATTACATCTCATCAAATGCACTTACTCATTAATGTTCTTCAGCCAAACTGACTTTGGCTGAAGGGCAACAACTGTAGGTATTCTTACATCAGTTTAAATACACTTTTAACATTTTACTCTAGCATGTCTCGTTAACTGACAATCAAAGTGTGACTGACTTTGAAGAAGGGTAGAAATGCTCCAGTGGACCGGCGTCAGTATGGTTTGTACTCGGCTTCTTTTCATATCTTTAACTGACAGTATACTAATAAGGACAAGTTTGGGAAATCTTCAGTATTTCAGATTCACTGCGTTTTCAAGGAGGGAGGTGTGAGTTGAGATTTGCCAATAATAATGGTGTTAACAGTGTTTTCTCTATCAAGTGGCTGTGGGGGGGGTTACGGTAGACCCGTCCATGTCAGATATTAATCATCGGGGGAAATCAGGAACTGGATCACTGTCTTTGTTTGTAATAAAGTGTTTAATCTTTTGTTTGTTTCTTGGTATCTTGTATCATGAACAGCATCATGTTTGGAAATTGAGACACAATTTAATCCACTTATGGTCCCACGAGTGAAATCTTCCGCTCACTCATACGGAAGGTTTATTATTGCCGCTGACAGCACGAGTTAACTGGGAGTGTGTCAGTATCCAGGAAACCAACGGCAGGCAACTCCTCTGTTTGTTCTGCAGCCGAGCTAATAGTTAACAGCATCCACCCGACTGCCCCGCCTTACCTCAGCGCACCATGAACTGCTGTAATGAGCCCTCTGCACTCATTGTGTCTGAATCAGGAAAAGAAACATGTCGGTCAATAGAGTTCACTTGTCTGTGTCTCAGAAAGCAGGTTAATTGAAAACTCATCAGTGATCCAACAATCTTATGTCTTTGATCTTTATTATTTTTTAAATCATCTTCAGTTGCTGGTTCCTGTGTTTTGTCCCCGTCCGATAAAAGCTAAATATAGACTTACTGCCTAATACACAGTCAGACTCCATTACTTCTTGTACTACTTGTGTTTACTTATTGACACTTTTCCCCACTCAATATGTCTTGTCAGGTCAAGAAGTTATTCAAAGTGTTTAGTGCATCAAAGTGCACCACTATATTTCACATGGGGAACTCCCATCTCTTACTTTCCGTGCACTGTGCGGGTGATACCTGCTTTACTTGCTGGTCACATGGTGTGTGGTGTCACGATGTCTGGGACCGAGTCACGTACACCAATTCCATAACTGCAACCTACATCCTTCCTCCTCTGTCATTGTTTCCCTAATCTTTCAATAGCACTAATCTTGATAGGTAAGTTCTCTCTCTCTCTCTGACGACCTGATCACTGAAGATGCCATCTAGACAAGACAGCACTTGTCCACTACTGTTTACATCCTCTCAAGGTAATAAATGTGACTGGAAAACATCCTTAAAATCAGAATAAACAACATATTGGATGGAACAGTAACAGTAAGGAGGAAGGAAGTGTCTGACAATGTGAAACACCCTCGCTGACCTGGTCATGTGTAGCCCAACGTGCATGTAAGTGAAACCAAACGGGGGGGGGGGGGAAAGGAGCAACTCAAACTGATCAGGAAACAACACACACACATGCCTTTCACACACTTTGTTTAGTGTTTAATAATTCATGAAAATCCTTTTGGATTCCACAGTCCAGTGGGCTGTTAATGCCACACAGTGCCATATAGTCAGACACTGGGCGGGTTTTCTGATGCTTTTGTTCTCTTCTGAGATAAGAGGTGGCTGGTAAGAGGATTGTCTCGTATTATAAAACACAATGGGAGTGTCGAATACCCATGCAGCCATAAACTAAGCAGATGAGTGCATTTGCCGATTTCTTTTATGGCTGTAATTACTTTACAGCTGTCCTAGCTGGCAACTCTTCACCATTTGCTTTATCTGCAAACAACATTCAAACAAATACTGACTGTGTTTTATAAATGCAATGTGGAGAAAATGTCCTAAAGCAGCTGGGCACTGTAGTTTTCAACAAACATTACTGAAAAACAGGAGAGTATTGATCATTTGTTGGTTAAAATTTTTAGTTGTGCATTATTTGGTGCCCAGCTGAGTATTTCCACCACCTGTACAGTGTTCATTGTCATGGAGGAACATGTTACAGAGAGGATGGGACACGTTTATTGGATTTCTTTTAAATTCGACTTGTCAAGCACACTTTTTGGGATGCAGATGATACCAACAGGAGATATAACTATGAGCTCTAAATATAAGATTATCAACCTAAAGACAAGAAAACATCAATTACTGCATAAATATGTTTATAGTCTCTTGAACTTGAACAAAAGAAACACTCTGAAAGTTGAGCTTGTTCACAATAATAATTTATTGAACCTGTACATTACTATATAACCGAGTCTACATTGTGTCTGTCACATTTAGACACTATCGTACATTAACATCGACTGTAAGAGCAATGAAACACCGCAGCTTGATCAGTGTCAATGAAGCCCTCTAGCAGTAGTCACAGAGTAAATAAGTGCATTCAGTATCTGTTACCATAGTTTTCTACCGTTGTGGATGGATGTCCTCGTGCTGGGCCACTACAGAGCAGGGTGAAGCCCCACCAGTGGAGCAGAAGCATTTCCGCACACTGAGTGTCAAAGCAAAGTTTGTGCAGAAAGGATTCTGTTAGACTGATGGGGGAGGGGGGGGGGGGGGCAGGCAGGTGGTCAGACGGTGGATCTTTCTAGAAGGCGCACGCCTTCTTTTACTTGGTGAGACTCTTCACATACTCCAGCTCCTCCACTGGTTTCCACTGCTGATTGATGGTGATGAGCTGCAGCAAAATGCCCACAAAATAACAAAATGAGGCTTCATCAAATTGACATTTGACATGAGCAGCGCGTGCAAACATGGGTAAACATCATTAATCTGTTTCCGCAATAGCACGCTGGTTGTAACTTGACAACATGTCTTCCTCAGTGACTCAGCAGATTGTAGCTGCACCCTGGATGTATCTGTTGTGCCAATCAAAAATAAAAAAGGGCTTCTTAACAACCACCTTAACATTAAAAAATGTGATGTAATGTTAGCATTGTTACAGATTACCTTTTGGGGTTTTGATGGGTCCAGTCTCTCCCATGGTTCGGGGTTTTTGGTTTTATTCAAACTGAAAGTGAATGAAAATTAGGATCAACATCAAGCCTTTCTTTACATGCCAGAGGCTGACGTCAGATTAAAGTATGAAAACGGGAAATAGTTAAGTGCAATTTATAGCGCTTTGTATTGTAAGTAAATGCAGTGGAATATAATTCCATCAAAATATAATAACACTCACATAACATCAGGTTTGGTAAATAGAAAGTAGAGAGCAGCAGATGTGGCTCCTGTTGCAGCAAAAGCCATGAACCCTATCAGAGGGATCAGCTGAAATATACGCAGACAAAATAGTTTTAAAATTTGCATCATGATATCAAACGCATTTAATAACATGGGGCTACAACTCCAATATCAACACATTACAAATTCAATTTTAACAAAGTAAAAATGTCGGCTCACCTCCTTTTTCTTTCTCAACATTTGGAAGAATCCAACCATTTTTACAAATTTCTCAAATACCTAAAGGAGAAACGCATCATAATTCCATTTAGGACGAGTCCATTCACTGAATTAAAGTCAGTAAGTCACAGAGACAGCTGTGTGGAAGCTCTCACCTGTTGTTACCGAGATGTCCTTGACGTGTCTTAGCGCAGCATCCTGTGAGCCCAGCTGATGTAGGCTGGAGGAGAGGTAGTACGAGGTGAAAGGCACGTAGACACAGACGGAGCTTCCTGCTCTGAAAGTCCAATTCGTCAACATATCTGTAGGCACCATGCAGTGATCAATATATTTTCTGGGTGTGCAGCACCCTCTTGTGCCCACATTTGAAAACTGAAACTTAAATATTAAAAGGTATTTTGAGGACTTGTAAGTGATAAAAAAAAAAAAAGAAAACACCAAAAGTTAACTTTTACTTATTTTATTTAAACTATTTTTTCTGTAATAATACATTTTATCAATGCAGTGGACATGGTAGTATGGTTTGTCATCTGTGAGGTTTTTGATATGCTTGGATCTGCTGGGCAGTGAGAGAGGGGCTCATTGTGCCGAGCGACCGAAGGAAGTATGTGTGCCTGATGGTAGAAGCCGCCATGTTTTCCTCTTGTAGCGCCAACAGAGCAGCCTGGAAAAAAAAAACAGTTTTCATTCTTACTTTATCCACTTGTCGATGTCAACGCTTCGGACCAGTATTACGTTTTGTGTTTTAGAAAATAAGGTCTTCACATTATTACCTCTTTACAGAGATTTTCCAGGTCAGCTCCAGAGTAAAGCTCTGTCTTTGCGGCCAGCTCCTCCAGACACACATCAGCACCCACGGGCATCGACTTTGTGCACATCTTCAGGATGCAAAGACGAGCCTAGACACACGGATATGTGGTTATTAGTTATCTAAAGACACACTAATACAAAAATGCATCATCTTTTAAATCACTTCGAAAAACCTTCACCACAAGATTGCTGTATACTATAACTTTTTATTCACTTGAGACACACGGCTTACCTGCTGGTCGGGTGGCGGGACATAGATGATGTGGTCCAGCCTGCCAGGTCTGAGGAGGGCACTGTCTAAGCAGTCAGGTCTGTTTGTGGCGGCTACAACCATCACATCGTTGTTGCATACTTCCTGGCAGTCCAACTGTCGAAGAGCAAAAACAGTGTATGGCAAAAAGTGCTGACTGCATCGCCTCCTACTGATCAGGTGTTGAGCAATAGAAGGAGGAGAGACAGCCTCCATAACATCTGACCTGTTCCTGCGTGCGATTCTCCTCTGCTCCCTCCGCCTGGAGGATCTTCTCGGTCCCTCTCCTCTCCAGAGTCTTCAGGCCGACCCCGTCCATCTCATTCAGGAGCACAGACAGGAGGCGTGTCTGTACGCTGTTGGGCGTCTGACTGTTTGACCGCGAGCCAATCAGGGAGTCAATCTCATCGAGGAACAGGATGCAGGGAGCACATGCCCGGGCCTGGCGAAACAGCTGCGGGTGGACAGACAGGTGCAGGTGTTTGTGGATGAAACGGGAGGAGGACACGACCACAGCAGCCGTTCACAGGTGTTATCGTGAAAAGAGAAGTACCTGCGCTAAAGCCTTCTCCGAGTCTCCGACATAAGGAGAGTAGAGGTCAGCGCCGCCGACGGACAGGAAGGCACAGTGAGATGTGCTGGCTGCGGCCTTGACGAGCGTCGTCTTTGCACATCCTGGAGGTCCGTAGAGCAGCACGCCACGGGGCCGACACAGACCCAGACGCACAAACGCCTCGGGGTACAACATCGGCCACTCAATACTCTTTGATGTTAAGACACAAGAGAGGACCGATGGAGGGAGAATGAGAGTATTTCGCTCTGATCACAGCTGTTTTTCTTTATGAGTCAACATGCTCAGATGGCTGTGTGTTTTACATTTGTATAATTCACGCACTGACGCTCATGTACCTGTCTGAGTTTGAGTTTGACCTCGTCCAGGCCTCCTATCTGCTCCCATGACGTCGGAGAGAGCTCCGTTCTGCCCAGGCTGCTCCGCAGGCAGGAGGGACGCACCGCCTTCAGAGCCTCATGGAAGTGCTTCACACCCACCATCTGCTCTCCTGAACCCTGCAGACAACAATTACATTTTATGTCTTCAACTCTCTGGAGGGATTGGAGCAGTCTTTACACTTATATTACAATTTGCATCATTTTACCAGGATAATCAACTCAATATCAATGCTAATTTCAAAGTAGTCCTGGGTGCAAATATGTGATGACTTTTTCAAACCATATTTTTGGTTTATCAGGAACATGTGGCCATATTTGCACTCTGGTGCATCTCTGATTTACTTACGGAATGCGTAATCAACTTCATAGTACAGCATGACACACTTCCCAAACAGTGGTTTTAACTATGCCACAACTCAGACACAACTTTAAACACACGCACACACATATTGAGTTGCCAAATAACCACCATAATACTCTTCTCTTCTAGCTGTGAAGCCGAGCACTAATGTATTTTTCTCCTATTCAGCCCCACATATAAGATGAAATGTGAGTGAAGCAGCCAATATGTGATCACAAGTCATCCGAGACCCATTTGAAACACACTGTGTGAACTACAATCCAATCTGCATAAATCCTGACAGAAGGTACTACATGTAGCTCTGAAGACAGCTAAAATGTTCCCTAGAAGTGATAAAATATTAGTGTTTTATTTTTATATGACACATGGCTTTATTGCTGCATTTACCTTTGAGCTTTCTCGTATAGCGTGCATGGCAGCCTCTCTGCACAGGGCGGTGAGGTCCGCCCCTACGTAGGCGGTAGTTCTCTGTGCCAGCTCCGCCATGTCCACACTGGGACACACAGGCATCCTCGCACACAGAACAGTCAAGATGGCTGTTCTCTGCCGCAAGGTGGGGGCTCCAATGATAACCTGAAGGAGAGATGTGAAAATCGAGATTGTCAATATTTTATTTAAATGGTTTATTATGCAATGGGTTATGTATTTCATTGTCCCCCTCACCTCTCTGTCAAATCTTCCAGGCCTGCGCAGTGCCGGGTCTAAGCTGTCCGGTCTGTTGGTGGCTCCGACGATGAGGAAGCTATCGGACCGTTTCATCCCGTCCATCAGCGTGAGGAGCTGAGCCACAAGGCGGTTCTCTGGTGCCGACGAGCTGCTTCTCCTCGGACACAGAGAGTCCAACTCGTCGAGGAACAGCACACAGGGGCCCTCTTCAGCTGCAGAGCGAGCACGCTCAAACACAGCACGCAAATTCTCCTCACTCTCACCCGGCCGGGATCCCACCACCTGAAATTATTATTCACAATTTGTATTAATAATAACAATAAGCTGTATTTATACAAAAACATGCCGCACAAAGTGCTTCACAAAATAAAAAGTAAGTGTGTTTTATCAGTGTCTCAAATATTTCATTTAAATAAATCTATCTATCTATCACCCAAAATATGTAACATCAACAGGCCTCTGGCACAACTCCTTATAGCATGCAAAGCAAAAAAATACATAAAGTCACATTATTATCAAAAGAACACAGTTATATAGCAGTACTTCTGCTTGGATATGATGTTGAAGTACTTTATTTTTTGGATTATCTTTCCACAACTTCTCAATTACAATTTTCTAATACATGTTGATTTTGGCAACATATAATTACACATACTGTGATTGGAAATGTTGAACAAATGCAGTATGTGAAAGAATGCAATGAATACCTCTGGCCCTCTGACCACCACCAGGCTGGCTCCCACCTCCCCCACCACTCTGCGGACCAGCAGGGTCTTGCCCACACCTGGAGGCCCCACTAGGAGCACACCTCTGGGACACGACACACCGAGAGAGCGCAGGGCACCTGGATAGAGCAGGGGCAGCTGCAGCATCTCTCTCAGGGAGGCACTCACCTGAAATATAGTATAAAAAACCAACAAATACAGGCATCACATTGAGGGAATACACACTCTGGATGAATATTTTTAATATCATTACGCTGACCTCCTCCAGTCCCCCCAGTGGGACTATTTGCTGGTCCTGCAGCTGACTCCTGTGATGCCTGAGCGTCTGGATGCCAACTATCTCCACACACGTCTTTGAGGTGATGAATCCAGCACTGGCAGAATCCGGATTGATGCTTTCAATAACAACATATCTAATCTCTGTGTCAAAATTCTCCAGGTTTATCACGTGCTTCTCGTGGACGTGCACACCTTTCAGCATGTCCTTCACAAGCTCGTGAACCAGGCCAGGAGGTGTGAGTTTCTTAAAATCCACACCCTGGACCACCACGGTTATCTTTACACCTTTCAGTTTGGGGCAGGGCACAGGTGTGAGCTGGTCTGGGTCCAGGTTGAGATGAGTGGGTGGGTGAGAGACTAGACCGGGAGAGGAACATTTCAGGTCCATCTGCAGGAAGCCCTCTGCCAGGTCAGGCCGGGGCCAGGCGGTGCACAGGCAGCTTCCCCCGGGAACAGACACCAGCAGCGGGGAGCCCAGACTCAGACCCAGCGCTGACATCAAGCCCGGACCCAACCTGCATCTCTGAGAGCCCCGGTCCGATGGATCCACTGACAGCATCCTCAGAGACATTGTTGTCCATCAGCAGCCTCACTGACGGTAAAACACAGAAACGATAATCAGGAGAGGTTACGTATTCAAACAGTCACACGCAGAGGGAGTGAAGCTCGTGTCATCACTTTAGCTGCAATGTGATCGTTAGCTAGGCTACATGCTAGCTGTTAGCAACAGCTTCATTCTTAAGCTAGCTGAAGAGCTAAATACTAAAGTAAATACTTTAACAACAACTGCGAGGCAGTTACATACCAGATAATGAGTGAATGGTAGCTAAAATGCTACCCGTGTTAGCATTGCTGACACACAACACACCGACCAATGTTTACAAAATCCACGTGTTGTAAAAGAGGATGGCCAACCAAAAAGCTTTCCTGCGCGAGACGAGACGCTGGTTTCCGCTTTCTAAATGAAATTATTCTGAATTTATTTACAGTGAAATAAACTATTTCAGATACTTTATCCGTAGTACCTTTGTTATATTTTTGGAGACTTACATAATTAAGTGTACACGTTAAGCATTATTTTAATGTGTACATTATTGCATGCATGTAATAATTATGTACAATTTATTTATCCAATTCCAGAATACTACTTTGGAATTATTTATACTGTAATATATACAACTAACTTATCATAGTATACTGTACAG